ATACATTTATGGAACCATTGACGTTGTTACTTAAAAACGTCCAAAACGTGAGTGTATAATGACTACGTAATCATAAATAGTCAGATATAAAATCACTACCTGAGACGTGTTAAAATTGTTTTAAGACCTACTGAACAGTTCAGACTACTCACTAACAGGATGAAAACTCATAAAGGTGAAGGAATATTAAACTGTTAGGACATAAATTAGAAGACAGTGGGATAAAACCCCTGTATGAGAAAATTTTGACGACACAAACCACTGCAGACCTGAATTAAAGGTGAAAAGTGCTACAGTTTTTGGTGAAAGCAGCTTTTCGTGGTTGGCTCATGAAGGATTTTAGCGAGATAGAAGCTTCTATGAGTTGGCTGGTTAAACCACAGAGCTTTCCTCTTCTTCCTATCACACACTCCAGCATGAAGTGAACTTATTCGAATCTTTCATGAATGAAATAACTATCTGTCTTGACATCTTCGGTCGCGATTGGTTGTTAATTTGCACCAGTATAGATCGTTTCAGTGATCTGGGATTCTGTTTTTTCATATGAATTATTCCTTATTAGTTGCTAATTTTGCTCTTTGCTGATATGTCTGTTGATCATAGATTATTCTGAGTACCAGGCTTCTAGATATTCCTTTCTTCCATAATATATTAGGATGTATTTCTGTCTTATTTAGAGAACACCAAACTGAATGATGCCGTCATAAAACAGACTAAACTCTCATTAAGATGTGTGAGAGTGGAAACCAAGCGTGGAATCTAAGGAAGCTGTTCAGTCTAGTTCATTCTAATGCAAAATTCATAGTTTAATGCTAGATATGGAAAAAAATAAAACTTTCACTCCTAGGGAATGAAAATCGCCCGACTTCATTTTAGTTTTCTCATAGACCTATTTGGATAAGTCGTTATTTACCGTCTAGTAGTTTATATCCCGTTTCGTACAAATAAAGTTTGGTGAAGACCTTGTTTTAACGGCTAAAATTAGGTTGTTTTTCAAAAAGTCAGTAGAAATTGAAATGGAGAAAATTTACAAAACGTTGATGGAAAGTGTATATATCCCATATTGTTTATTAGTACAGACTTCAAATAGGAAAAGACAAACTGATTGGAAGAAACACCTATTGAAGAGTGTGGTAGCTAGACTAAATACGGTGAGGTGACTGTTCAAAAATAATTATTAACTCACTGCATGTATCGCATTCGTCTGTTTCCCGCGAAGTTAACAGCGGTATGTAAAATAAATAACATGCTAAAGGAAACCAATCTGGTTGTGAGTTCTTCTCAAGATACCTCCGTCTGTATCGATTCATTTATCTAAGCTTGGAAAAGCATACACTTTGGAAAGACAGAGACGATCCTTTCAAACAGAATTCGAACATTTGCAGGGAACTTTTTGGTCAAGGAATTTAGGACTGTAAAGCGAAACTAATGTTTCAAGTCATACGAAATAGTAATAGTAGATCGTCATGCTATACACAGGCAGAAGGAACCTGTAGACTGAAACGAATAGTGAGTGCAGAATGGTTTTGCATTTCCTCGGTAATTTGTTGTTTTCATTTATTTACCATTCCGTAATTCAATCTATCCTCCTTATTTTTAATCTGCGTAATTCTCCTAGGTTCCAATTTGGATACAGAGCTTCAGCAGGACATCATCACTTCACTCTGTCTTCTGTAGTCTGTTTTAGTTGGTTGCGCGACTTCGCACATGCTTCCATTTCCTCCTCACATAGTCTCTTCCATATCATCATCGAACGACCAACTCATCGTTTCCCAATTGTGTCTCACTTGAGGGTGTAGCACATCATTCTGCTCGACGAAAATGCCTTCCATCACGTTCGAAGTCTGTGAATCAGAAAAAAGAACTGAATTGATATTACTACTGACAATCTGAATCTTGTACACCGCGCTGAGAATAGCAGATCTCTATGCTGACTTTAGGTAAATGAAGGTCTGTCATGCCTTTCCTGCTTTTGACATCCCCATCTGTGCCGCCTGTAATCCATGTGAGGTTGCTCAGCCAAGTGAAAGACACGACTGCTATTACTTTCCTCCAGTTAATGGTGATTGCTTGATGTTGTTGAATGTGATGATGACCAGCTATCTTTCTCACCTCTGTCCTCTCCATATTCACTTGGAAACCTATCTTCCCTACCTGCCTCTTCTGCAAAAATATTGTTTTTCGACCACCACCTAATTCAGAACTACCATCAGTGATGGTAATTATTCTTGTCTTACTCCCGTCTTTCCTTCAATGCCTTCGGTGAGTTATCCGTTCTGCATCACTTGTCATATGACTTTATCATCATCATATAGCTGCTGAATGAAGTTGGTCAAAGTTTGAGGGCACCCGGTATCACTCTTCGATATTTTTGGTCTTTATTAACATTTTCAATTTATTTTAACTTTATTTTAGTTCTGAATCTCAGTACATCTTTTTGTTGCCTTACTATAATTTCACCCATCTCTATCATACCATCTGTACTATTACTTAGCTATCCTGTTCTGTATCAAATCCTCTACCACCTTCACTTTTAATCATGTTTTATCATCATCTATTTGAATATTTTCATAATGTCTTCAGAACAATATAATATATTTATAATTATATTCATATGAATATGTATGTATACAGTTACAAAAAACCATCAGTCTAATATTTCAAATACTCCATGTTATTACCACATAAATATAAATAATCATTTACACTAGCTACATTTACAATGATGAGTAGATACTTTTAAAGGCTGACAGCTTGATGTAAACTCCCTTATTTGTAATTGATTGGCGAATGATGTTAATTTATCGTTCAATATTTTGAAGAGTGCCTAGCTTAACCAATTAACAAGTCATGTCAAAAATTGACTTCATTGGTTACTTAAATGAAAGTAAAGTGCAAAATAAGCTTTTATGGAACTGATTCGCATCAGTCAGTTTAGCCGTATATTTTAGATTCAAGCTTGTATGAAATTACAATATCCGGTAGTGAGTTTTGTGGAGACTATCTACTATACACTACTAACAAATATTATCGAGAAGCGCTACTGATCAGCCTTTACGAAAATGTCGAAGAAACCCTCCAAGTCTTTAAAAGTTAGGGTGATCGCCCTACTGGTGTTTATGACAATAACTTTATATCTTTCTATTGAATTGTGCCTCTTTATTTCTGATCAGTATGTGTTCTACAGGTAAGTTCTAGGATTATTACAATTTTATTCCTTAAAATATAACACCAATGATTTTAATGTGTTTTATAATGCATGCACCATATTGCTATTAGTCAGTGTCAAGAGTATGTGTTGTATAAGCTGTAAATTCACAAAAACAACAATACACTGGATAACTATAACACAGTAGATGCAATGCACTTTAAATAATGTAGAAAATTAAAAAAATGAAGGTTTTTAATCCGATTAAGGTCACAGTAAATCAGAGAGTAAAACGAATTTCACAGGATCTCAGAAACACTTTAGTGATAATTGCTAGTAAGCCGAAAGCCAGGGCCCAAGACTCCAACCAAAGTGATATCTGATATCCAAAATCAGCCGAAAGAGTATCCTTCTCATCACACTGGTGAGTGCATTGCGGACATCACTGACAGACTTTAATCGTTGGTTTCATTTTGATAACTACACTGGATCGTATACAGTGGAGAAGTGGTCTATTTTTGTTCAAATAATTCCACTTGGTCGTGATTGTACTGGAATGTCTTCCTTTTGCCAAAAGCCTTGAAATATCTTCAAAACTGAACCACATAGCGGGTTATGTATTGGCATTTGTACTTCACCTACACCATAGTTTCAGAAATGTTATGGTTTTGGTAAATCGATATGAAGTAAAATGTTTATGGAAGTGGTAAACTATGAAATTTCGGTGTATTGATTTATTAGGTCATTGGTTGCGGTTAGTATTCACCAGATAATTGGAAACCACGTTGATTATTCTAAATACCACGGTTCATAAGGTTTGTTAGTGGCAGAAGTGCATCCGTACACTATATATATATATATATAGATCGAGCCTACTTAATTGTTCCAGTTGTAACAAAGTATGATAAATTTACCGAAGAGTCTGAAGACAGTGACAAGTAATATATCTATCAGCGTGTTATCAGTGTCTTGTATCCAGTGCATTCGCATTCTTAGTGCAAAAACACATTGAGACCTAAAAGCATGATTAACACCAATTTTTATCTTCTTAAGGTTTTAATACCTACATGGCAGGATAATCGTAAAATAAGCGAAAATGATAGTTTATGCTTGATTAACAATGTCATATTCACTGTTAATTTCCAGCGCTGTCACTGAACAAGGACTACCTTACTATACACGGGCACAAAGGGGACGATACCAATCTCTGTGAGTTAAAACCAACTTGTTTAAATATGCTGAAACGTTTTAAACACTTAAACTGCAAAACATGAAACACATTTAGTTTTGGTCATAAAAAAACAGATTTCCTCGATTAAGATTAATAATTTCACCTCTGGAAGATTTCGACTGATATTATTATGAAGTAGACAATATTTTTCATCACAAAAGAGATATCACTGGAGTGCTGGTATTCTGGTTATGCCTCAGTGTAGTACAGATCAGCTACGTTGTTGACTGTGCACAGGACAATAATTAGTTCTTAAGACGTTTTTATTGTGGAAATCTTGCCTCCAGTAATATTAACTTGTAATGCCTATCAAAATCGTCATACACTACTAGTAAATGATTAGTCATGGAGATAACTCTTGCAAAACTGAATTTTATGGATTTCACGTATTTCTAAACCATCCTAAATTTTAATTGCAACACCCTGTTTTTCTCTAAAGATTATGGGAACATTATTCAGTTTGAATTTTCATAAGTGAACTTCCTAAACTCGCACAGCATCTTCATTTTTTTTAAATGAATGATTAATTACCAAGTATTGACAATATAGCAGTGAGAAAATACTGTGTGAGTATCGTAGACATTATTCAGCAGTACACATTTCACATTTAGCCCCCACCAAAATCAGCCTTGTATGGTGAGAAAGTCACGAGAAGATTTCTCAGAGGTTTATCAGTGTAAACCACAATGACTTGTTTCATTTAGTGTGCTTGTTTCTACTAGTATGAATTCAGCTTTCCATTTGTGTTTTATGTGTATACTGCCGGTCACTGAACTTGTTTAATGTTAATATGTATCATCAGTTTTCTCTACTACACAATAAAAAGCCTAATGATCATGTGGTGAATCTCAACCTCTTAGCATACTGAAATTAACAAAAAAGAAATATCCGAATTCATTTGATCGGTTATATGTGAGTACATGGACTCTTTGGACTGATAACTTGTCATCACCCTAATTTCAGTTCATGAAACCAATCGCAGTTTAATATATTTCCAAATTAGAAAAAAGTGGAGTTTTTATTCTGCAAAAGTCAAACTTGAATAACACTGAAAATGACAGATAATATTAGTAATAACAAAAATGGTTATTGAGTTTGGATTCTCTTATTCACAAAGGTTTTTGACCACATGTTCTCTTACTACTAATATTTTTACACATTCATTCCAAAACAGTTCCACTGAAGACAAGCAAAAGTTAAAGTTAGCTCAGAAGAAGGCAGCAACTCTTGAATCAGCAACCAATTCTGTACGGATAACAATCGGACTGATCACCACTCTGGTTGTAGGTTATTTATCCGATAGATTCGGTCGTCGGGTGGCCATTGGAGTATTACTAGTTGGGGAAACACTCCATGTTGGCTTAGTGAGTAAGTGATGCACCTTTTTATATTAATTTTTATCACGAAAAGAGTGACGATAGTGATCATATGATTAATGGTTCAAATTTATCACGAACTAGGGACCAGTTCATCCCTTAAGATATGTATGCTTTTTAAGTGAATATTTTAAATCACCTTCAGTTATTCGGTGACTCAAAATAACTTGCAAACTGTTTATTCTTCCTTCGCTCAGTTATTTTTTTTCTTTTGATTCAGGTTTGATTGTATTGCTGAAATTGAATTTGTGGTTAGTGATATTACCGGGATTCTTTGAAGCTATTCTCGGTGGTGGTCTCTTATCACTGTTTGGTCAGGTTGCGGCTATACTTACTGACATTTGCAGACCAGATAATGAAGAAAACAATAAAAGTGCAAAAAAGATTCAGTCGATTGACAGAGAACTATGGATATTATTTACAGTCTTTGATGGAATAGCAAGTTTGAGTATTTCTGCAGGTTCACCAATAGGAGGTAATTATAACAGAATGTTCATTTTACTTATATGTTTAATTTAAGGAAAGGTTAGACAACATTCATTTTAGAGAATTCTTCACCTATTTCTTGTGTGAAAGTACTTCTAGCTGTCTGTAAAATTTTCATTAATTATGTGATTCTAAACTGCGAGAGTTGAAATGTCACCTTAAAGGGTGAACACAAATATTCCATCGAAAACTTAAAAAGATTGCTGATGGCGGTTGTATTTTTCCGAATAGACAGCCAACTACTTTGTTTCAAGTTCCCTTTAGATATTATTACATGGTGTTTGGTATATACGAAAATATTCTGGTGGGTTAGACAGTGGCATAATTTGACTGTTGGACATCGCCTCGTAAATCTCAGAATGTTCAAAACATCTTGTTCTGGATAAAAATATCCATCTGGTTAGTTATTATGATTTATTTTAAGCCATTGGAGGAAGATCTTTACAAACCTCTTATAAACTGGTTGATTAAAGTTGATATATGCAGTACTTAAAATATAGTCATCGTCATTTATTTCTGAACCAACAAATCAAATGTAACATTAACTTGAATGATACTGCATTACACTGATGATTAACTTCCTGGCTTTGTATGTCTACAAATAATTAGTATGAAAATAGTGAGTATGAGCAAAGGATATAAAACACTTCAATATAATTAAAAGTTTTCAAAAAAAGAAATCGATAGAGGGGAAAATGAACTTTTGTTTTACTTCGAAGTACGGTCTTATTTTATCTCAGAGTAACGCAGTACAGACAGAATGTCGCTTTATTTTTATATACTTCGGGGTGGTAAGCGTTGAAGGCCCAGAAAAGACAACAAATCTGCTTGTAACACAATTTGAACTCAAACTTGGTAAAGCATAAGGACTTAGAAATGCTGCATGAAGTGTTCGAATAATGACATGCAGAAAAGAGAATAAGATAAGCACACACATCTAATACATATATATATATATCCATACATATAATACGAAACTATCCTTAACCCTACAGCTTCGCACTGTTAAGTAGTCACCTTTTTACTTTTTAAACTAGTCGTAAGAGTGAAAAATGTACGGAACCTGTTGGTCCAACATACACATCACATTTTAAAGCTACCAAAGTCAACTTCTCAAGATGATGGCACTGGTTGAAAGGTCATCCTAACGTTACCGGAAACGCTTTCATGGGGAGATTAATGAACTTGCTATTCACCAGAATAAATCAGTATACATCACATTGTGGCAAGTTTCTTATAGCTAACAGTGACATCGCTTACCATCTTTATGCTGACTCGTAAGTTTAACCGGTGTCCATTCACCATTTCTGCAGAGCTAGTGGTTGACCACGAATCAAAATCTGTTTGATGTTCAGCTTTAATTGTAGGTAGGATCACTTTATTTATGTCTACCTATTCCGAACATCACTGGTGATGACTATTAAAGCGCAAAAGAAACCTGCTACATACTAAAATACGATACGAATCTAGCCTATAAAATAAATTTGTGCATTGTAGTTATGGTGTAACAACAGAAGACAAGGGCCAGGCAAAAGATCGTTTATTAAGGAAATCAACACATATTTATAGATTTTCATGTACATATAATAGATTATTGTTAGCAGAAAAACACAGTCTTCTCATTGGTTGTTTCTCACAGAAAGTTAACCTTGCATCTCTTCGTGGCTGTTTCTTGAATGTCAGATCATCTATATGTTAACTGTATCCGCCTGCGCAAAGCCTTTGTTCTCATTTTTCTCACGACCAATATTGGGGACATAAATATTGACGTCAATTCCTGTCCAGCAATTTTGACTAACAGCCAGCTCTCACCACAATGGTACTGTTTTCAAGAGATATCTTGCAGAATAACTTTGTATGTTTTTTTGTGTGATCGAGGTGTATTCATTTAACTGTTCGGTTACATATTTAGAACACTTCAGTTAGATCAAGTATTTTTCAGAGTTGTTTATTCGATACGCAGACAACAGTAGTTTGCCACTCAGTTAGCTTTTAAGTCTACATATAAAGAGCTATCACACTTGGACAATTACCCTAACAATAAAACAGCCTTCACTTTTTCGCACTTTCACCCCTGGAAGTCATCTAGGGCAACAATGCAGCATTCAGTATAATTCACCAGAGCATCTACATATGTGTCATACGAATATTTAATTTCAATACTGAAAAAGTCGTTTTGTCTTTTATAGGCGCACTGATCTATCGTTTCAGTTTCCAGGTGGCGGTGTTCACCTCATTAGCTTACTTGCTCCAAGCTTAATTTTGATATTTTTCCTACCTGAGACAAATTTGAATAAAGGAAAGAAAATCGTCAAAGTTGAATCTGTTCCAGATATAAACTTTGATGGTTCCATTGACGATACACGTAGCATACCAATGCAGTTTGACAAAAGCCTAAAAGGAAGAATTGCAGAAAAACTCCGAGTAAGTAACTTGTGTTATTAATTGTGTTGAGTTACACATTTCTGTTACTTGATATTATTTTCAGTTTTTCAATAAAACTCTATATATACGTATATATATATATATATATATATATATGTATCAGTAAGAGCTATGAACCCTAATTTTCTTTAAGTTTATGTACAACAAATAACCTGAAGCTAAAAATAAGCGTAGAAGGAATATTCAATAAGTTTGAAAGTTTCATTTCCGGATCTGTATAGCCCATTACCTTATACGTAAGACTTGAAAAGTTCCAACAAGAATAGGTTATGTTCAAACTAAATGTACTAACAAAGTTAACTTATTCTGAACACTAGTCACTGTATTATTAAATGTACACACACAGTTAAGCAAGACTTGTTGTTACTTTTCACTTAAAAGAATGAATCACAGTTTTATAACCCCATAACTGCAATATTGAGGATTCACTTGAAACTACCAGCAAATACAGTCTTTCCTCTTTTAGTAAATATAATGTCATAATCAAAAGTCTCTGAAAGAGTTGCTTTGGAATTTTACACCGCATATATATATATATATGTCATGATACAGGAATTGTCGCAGTTACATGAATAGTGGAGTACTAGTATGAGCTTACTTATTTTCATTTAAATATCCTTCGTATAGCCGGCTGATAAGCAGTGAATAAACTTTTACATTTCAGACATCTAGAGAAGAATTAAGCTAAGGATATCCTTTTCGATAATATCCTCTTCCGGCTCTACAATTATATATATCTTTATATATATATGTACATAGAATATTCTAGAATAGTCATCAATAGCAGTATTAGTGTCTTTAAATACTGTCGACTTGTTAAGCGATATATATGAGATCACAGTTCACTAAAGATGCATAAATTATAATAAGCATAAAAATGTGAGATCAAATAGAATACCAAACCAAATTAAGGAAATTTGCACAACAGATTGAGGACCATTGGGACCTTGATGACCAAGGTAAGGACAGTGTCTGAATCAACTTCTTAATGTAGACCTCAACAGTCTCAGCAAAGTCTGGTAGACGAACTCTTGAGATAGAGTTAAGATTAGTTATTGTACGGCAGATGACTTTGGAAGCCTCGTTAACAACCTTTCATCAAATTTGCTTATTACACTCCACGCTGTATCTGACCAGTAATTTAGCTGAAAATATATAGGCCTGACCTAAAACCTAACTCCACACATTGTAATAGTAGTCTGTTTCATGCATTATTAGAGGAGGATTTAGCATTTGCAGGTAGAATGTTGTACAAATCCATGTATTTAATAATTACCAGTCCTAAAATAGTTTTGTCACAATCAGATATGTACGTAAACTAGTGGAAATTTGGAGGACAAGTAGACCTGTACTTCTTGAGTCATTCTGAGTGGATGTCTTAAAATCAATTTCGGAGTAAACTAAAACAGAAGTATAGTACACACTAGAAGGTAGGCAGTTTTAAACCTCAGCAATTATAATTGTGTGCGTGTGTGTTTTCAGCATACTTGAATACAAACTGAAGCATTGTAAAGTTACTGGTACAGTTTAAAAAACAAGGTAATGTACAATATTGATTATTGACAAAATAATCATTTGCCATATACATGTTTTGCTGACAGTTCGTAAACTTAAAATAGAATTCCGTTGATTATCATAGGGTTGTGTATCTTAAATTAGAGAACCACTTGTAAACATTTCTTTTTAACAATACATAAGCTAACCACGTGGACAACTAATAATGAGATAGACTGATTACCTTTTGACACACGCAAATGAATGATTATTTTACAGTCATTTAGACAAGTTTTGTTTTTAAATCAACTTCATGTGACTATATTAAAGAACTTTATCACGGATTTTATCATCTGATGCATGCAATGCTAACCAGTACTTTCAGTCTAATGAAGTAGGCTTAGGAAGCTTCAAATATTTACACATTTACAAATCAAACTTAGTATTACTGAATTTGTAAGGTATGCTGAATGAACCCTGAAATAAGAAGTGAAATTTGAAAGAGAAAGTACTGTTTAAGTGACAATTAAATTATCATGAGCTGACATCATTTGGAGAACCAGTAGAAAACCTGGGAGTACTGGAAAGCTGTTTCGTCCTAGTTTGGGACTCTTCATCAGTATGCACCCATCACAGTGGTTCGAACCCGGCTTGCATTGGGAAGCTGTGACCAGTAGGTCATAGCAAGCTGAAGATGAGGCAGTAACTCATCAAAGAAGACATTGCTAAATGATCACGCTATGTCGTGAATTGGCAGAAGTCAGAATTAAACGACCATTGGATCGGATCCCAATGGCTCAATGGTCTACGAGCTCGCCTTGTAACTAGATTGGTCGTCATCTATTGCATACTGGTCATATTGTAGACAACCTGAAGTCGTTCAAAATAAGCAACATGCAAAAGAAACCTAGCTTGCTACGCTTTGCTGAAACAATTGCCATCAGACAACTTAAACCAAATCTATGTACGCAGAAAGAGACAGTGGTGAATCTTACACTGCCCTGGTGATAACAAAAAATATACAACTTTCATGAGTCACCTTTTTCATGTTTAGAAAACTCTACTCTCTCATCTAAACATGACTAAACCTACCTTGCTTATTTTCTTTCTTTTTTCTATTGGCTATTAGAAAAGACGTTTTCTTTAGTTATGTAATCTACTTTTTTGTTATGCTCTTTCTAGCTAAACCTTGTTTCTATACACACATATATATACGCAGCCCTGTTTTTTTGTTTCCAAGCCTAATTGTCTAATTATTCTATAAATAGTCAGTGTTTGTAACTCCTAATCAGTTAAATCATTCCGGACTAATGTTACTTTTAATTCCTACCAATTACTCCTTGTAACTGTGGAAAAGTTGTAACCAGTTGAGAAGAATCCTCGAAATAATAAAAGATGAGCTCATATTATCCCGGTACAATTGTTGTTCTTGCTTTGTTCATATTTATACTTATTTGGACTTTTCAACTAACTTTGTAACTGTCATCCGTTTTCCTTCATATCATTGTTCTGACATTTGCACATCATATTGCTGACTTGATTCTTATTAGTCATCTTTGTTACTATTGTATCTTTAATTTTAATGTTACTCTTAGTTGTTACATGTACACTAATAGTGTATTGTACGATGCGATTTCGTTTGAGTGAATCGAAGTCATTGTATTTCTCGAAATATCTGTGAGAAGCATTGGTGTGTGACCCTTGTGGACAGGGTTTTTGATTCCACCCTGCAGGGAATATTCTACCTGATCCTGAGGTATTTCTTACAGTTGAATTTTGGCTAACTAATCTTGTCCCACAGTACCTGTCTTGTGCTTAAAAACCTAAATTGCCTGTGTAGACGCCTAACAGCACTGTTGAGGTAGTTTTCAGTTTTTGATGCTATTACTGCTGAAAAGAACCGCACACAGATTCCAGTCACATACAACCATCTTATGACTGTCTTTGGAGCGTTTTGTGAGTGCGCGTTTCTCAAAGACGTTTCTCACAGCTAAACAGTAAGAGGCAAGAATCGATTCGCTGTGTTTAGAACACAACTCTATACAGGCTCCGTAGTCTCTCCAACTTTGGATATTTACAGAGTCATCGTTTTCAGATAGTTACATCTGCCACACTTTTGTTCACAGCTTGTTATTTAAGCCAAGTCATTCTTTGATTTATTTTAATCACATTTTTTATAATTGATCAGCCCTTCGGAACATGATTCTTCTCTCATTTCTTAAAACACAGCTGTGGCAATTTTATACATATATACAAAACCACCTGCGTCAGTGAAACTGAATGGAAACTTGGGTAGTATTTTCAGCATTTTATGAAACTGTGATACATTTTTGCATTTTGATATAAATTCACATATTATTTTTTATGCTTAAATATATTAGGACTTGAAGGATTTAGATCCTGTTTTGGTCATTATTATGTCTGTGGTTCTTCTTGGTTCTATTTCGGCTCTGGCGGATTTACAATACGTCGCTGTCTACCTCATGGGCCCTCCTTTCCTATGGAGTCCAGAACGTGTTGGACTGTACTCGTAAGTGGATTTTTGCTATATTTAATAGTCAGCAACTGATTAAATGAGTGTTTTTTCGAAAGAGGCTACAGTCAGTTTCTAGGTCACGATGAGTTCCTGCACCGGCTAGTTATATGCTTTCGTGAATTCGTTTTCCATTGAATTTTAAAGGTTTTTCTGGATGTTTTGCTCATTTTGCAGTGTGTAGGTCAGTTTTTGTCACAGGGTGCTACTATTTAGCTTATTTTTAGCCTGAAGTTCACAGTTATTATGTTGGTAGTCAAAGATTATTGTAAACCTGCAATCATTGAGCTAATTAACGTATACTATGCTAATATAGTAACATAGAGTATGCTAATAATAGTAACAGTAGACTCCCTTACTGTTTTGCCATTGTTTTACAGTGAACCTGTGCGCTGATTTTTCAGCATGAGTGGCACTAAATCGAACCTACTGGGTTTGCTTATCAACGTTGTTCCAGCCCTCACAGGACATATTAATGATGAACTAGCGTTACTCCAGAGTGGAAAGTTTTGATTCAGCACGTAGCTCTTTTTAAGCACGACCTGTGTCATTTCAGAACATAGTGGGTAAATATGATCTTCAGTTACCATAAAAAGGCATTATCGAGGAATAGGTTAGAATAAATTTAGAATTGTTTTAAGCTTAGTGGTGCTGCGGTCTAAGTGATAAATCGTATTAATCACCGTTATTCAGGATATGCTATGAACCGGAAATCCTCAGCTGAAAAACGTATGAATAAGACACAGATCGGTGTAATTTATAACGGACTCCAAATCGCTCTCATCACAAAACAGTCAACCAAAGTATGCTTTAAACTGTCGCTCTCAGCCGTTTGAAGGGAAATTTACTTGATTTATGCTGACCTAGTATGCACAAATCCCAAAGGTCATTGAATTGACAACTTAAAAAAGTAGATTAGTTAATACATACATTTATCTATATGTACTAATTAAGGATACATTAAATTTTTAGAAATTGTAGTTAAAGTTTATTCGCCTAGTAATCACAAATGCATACATCCTATTTTGGACTTAAAATAAATGCATCCAAATTATTGTTGATTTATATTCAGTTACTAGACATTCTCATACATCTTAATGTACTTTAAACACCACCAATGCATCCAAATAGCGTGTGACTATCACACTACACTCATACCAAAAAAATTAACACGCCATTATATAATGGTAAGGTAAGCCCTAAATCATACTGACTGTAAATTTCCGTGTCAAAATAAAAAGATTAACGCTTTAACTTATTTCTATAGTTTGGTTTGTAAGGATTAGTTATGTTTTACGGGTTGATCACGGATTGATATCAGTTAGAGAACTAATCCTTACAAACCAAACTATAGAAAGTTGATCTGATGCTCGCTAGTGACTTGCTACAGGTTGGAGTTTCCTGAGTTCTAGTGAGAAGTCGTGACCAGTGAGGTCCAATTAGATGTCACGTGTGTGGATGGATGTCCCACCAACGACAATGGTTGGGGTCGCGCTAAATCACGAATTAGTAGAAGTTAGAATTCACGAGCCATTGAATCGGGTCCCAGTGGCTGAATGGTATACGAGCTTGCCTTGTAACCGGAAGGTCCCGGGTTCGAATCCCAGTGGGTGCGTACTGCCGATGATTCCCAAACTAGGATGAAACAGCAGCTGTCCAGTATTCCCTGGTACAAAATGGTTCTCTAACTGATATCAATCCGTGATCAACCCGTAAAACATAACTAATCCTTACAAACCAAACTATAGAAAGTTGATCTGATGCTCGCTAGTGACTTGCTACAGGTTGGAGTTTCCTGAGTTCTAGTGAGAAGTCGTGACCAGTGAGGTCCAATTAGATGTCACGTGTGTGGATGGATGTCCCACCAACGACAATGGTTGGGGTCGCGCTAAATTACGAATTAGTAGAAGTTAGAATTCACGAGCCATTGAATCGGGTCCCAGTGGCTGAATGGTATACGAGCTTTAACTTATATTTTAGACCAATAGGGAGCCAGCTAATCAACAGCCAATCAAAATCTGCCTATATCTATTTTCGTTTTTTCTAAAAGCTCTTGAAAATGAAGGAAACTGAGTTAAGTTTTTATGGTAATTCAAATTTCTGCTGAAGCCTAAATATTTATAAAACTTGTTTTAGCAGCCTTTATTATCCTGTGATCAATAAACCATAAGAATTTGCCTAATGGAGACTTGTTTGTTTTATTGTACGGACTCTGTATAGTTAGCCAATATGTAAAAAACACCGCTATTCTGAAAGAACCCCGCCAACCACGCACCGGCCGATGCACTCCTAAACCTCGCCCAGCTGGTAGTCATTCCAATAAAGACGGTAGGTTGAGAGTGAGGCTAGCAACCCCACCTCGTAGAAAAGAATAACACCACTGCTATCGAAACTCCGAAGCTCTAGATTGAAGCTCTCTATGTTCCAACCAGAACATAAAGGAATAAAAATGGTTCCCAACAATGTTGAATATATTTGTAGAAATTTAGTTCGAAATTAAAAGCATCTTGCCAACTGAATCCAAACAAACTAACCACTTGAAGTGATCATGTGAAAAATATTACTTTCAAAATAATTACAGGGACAAAAGTATACTGTTTACTGATTTCTCCATCTATTCTTTATTTTCCATCTACTAATTATCATGGAATGAATCAGTGCAAAAGGCATTAATTTGATATTATTCACCGAATAAAATTAATAATTCATAGACAGTATTCTTTAAAACTATTGTCGATTACTTATTTACAGGGGTATAACAGATGTTACAGCAGCTGTCATCTCAGTTGTATTCACCATTGTGATAATTAAATTGGACGAGAAGAAAAAAGCGCGTGCTAAAGCAACTGAAGCCGACAATGTCACAAACGAGAATGTACCAGAACCTCAAAGAACAGAAAAGCATTACACCCGGCTAATGAATTTGCTTGTTGCAGTACTTGCTATCTCACTGCTAATGCTAATAATAAATCGCACAGCTGTTGGTCTAGCTCACAGATTCCAGTTACCGACAGCAGATATAATAATTTATGTTGGTAAGTCATAAAAAGAATAATTTTTCAGTGGTTTATGTAAAGAGAGCAGCTTTTACTTTCTACTTATCCTCTAATTCGAATATTACTCCAACCAAAAGTGAAATCACTATCCAGCAGTTGTAAAACAAGACTACATATGCGTATACTTCAGCACGTCAAGTTCTTTTATCTGGTTTGAAACACGATATTAATATGAAAATTCTACAAATGGTTTTAAAGTAACATGTTCCAAAGACACCCTGTGGTTAATATATCGTAGAACCTTCGAAACCCATTGTTATATTTATTTACCAGTATTCAAAAAATGTGATTGGACTTTAATGTCCAGAGTATTCGACTAACATCAAGCCCAGGTAATATAAATGACTTTCCTTATTATCAATTAGTAATACTTTGAAGGTATTTAACATAATTCATTCTTGTAAGGCTTGACGTAGTTTCATACGAAATTACAACCCATGAGTTTCAGCCCACGTAGATTAAGAGATACATCATGAAATTATACTATAAAATAAGCAAGACTGGGTATCATGCAGGTATATGCACTAACATAGGTATTAACTCATTTATATTGTAGGCGCTTTAAAATTCGAAAAAGTTGTGTGAATTCGTTGAATTTAAACATTTTTGTGCCAATCTAGAATTTATTTCGTGACGCACTTATCAGGTATACACGTAACGAGCTACTGATTAATCACCATTATCAAGTGTTTAAATACTTTTTAGGGAATCAAAAATTATAAGACCACCTGATGTCACATCTTTTTTTGACTGAAAACCCACATGATGTACACAAGTGTGAACGTTTGCATGATACATCGCAGTTGTAAATTAAACATCTAAGCAAGTTATTCTGCCTAAGCTACTAAAAGAAGTTTGTATTAACCATAAGATTATAAAGTATTTTCAAGACAATCTAATTCGATACTCTGTGTTACCTGTCGAACGGTCATCTTTTATTTTGTTGTGCAAGTTTGGCTGTTCAATAAGGGCACCTAGCAAATTCGACTTAGTATGATCGATTCGGTGCTGAAATAGCCTCACAACGTTTGACTGTTTCTGTGATTAAAAAATGTTGTTTAAAAATAATTCATCAGCTTGTTGTTCATCATGGTGCCTTCGGCTTCAACAAACTATAAAAAGATAACCTAAGCTTCAAGATAATTTTAGTGAAACGCACCACTGAAGACAATTATCGCCATTTTTTTTCAGTGAAACTGAAAACTTTGTTGAGATATCACACAACTGTTATTTGATTTCCCTTTGGTGTTTAACACTGTAAACCCACACATCTAATACGAAAGTGTAAGATCTTGAAGTAAAGATAATTTTTTCCGATTTTATACGAAATGAATGCTTCTCAAATATAGATGGTATAAGAAAACGTGAATACAATGAAAATAATAAGTTTATTGAGATATCAGTTAGAGTTCAATTAACAACTGACAGCAACAGATTTTTGACACGAAACTGCTGCCTCAAAGTTGAACAAAACACAAAAATATCTTTAAGATGAAATAAAGTAGGCATTTCAACATGTACTGATCTTCTCAATGTCAGCGAAGTATTATTATTCCCTTAGGTTCCGAGTGGAACATAGGTTCTCAGTAACATATCTCCACTGTGTTCTCTTTTCTGCCATCCTCTCTAGCCGGGTCAAAGATTTGCCAAACTCTCTCATCTCTCCCTCACCCTAGGAGGACCCACTTGTTGCTTACCACTAGGATCCCACTTGAGCAATGGCCTGGAGCGCGATGTCACTCGACAGCCACTTCAATGTATGCCTTATCCATCTTCATCTTCTCCAACTTATTTGTTGAGCGATCGGCTCTTGGCTGGTTTGTTCCTCACCAGAGTTTCCTGTTGCTAATTATTTCTGGCTATTTGAGCTTCAGTATGGAACGAAGGAGGCAGCTGTTGACAAAAGTCTGCAGCACCCATTGATAACGCTTTCCGTGATGCGCTGGATAAGTTTCTGACCCGTATACAAGAACGGACTAACTTCACATTTGTGTTGAAAATCCAATATTGGTGTTTATGCTGCGAAGTGTAGTGCAGAAGATTTCCAAACTGGTTGCAGGTTGATGAAGCCGTATCTTGCCTTTCCCATTCTGGCTGACTAGCTTTAATATCTTCATCCATTCCACTTGAAGTTGAAACGATGCTTCCTATATAAGTGAAGACAGAATGTAACCTCTGTTAAATCTCTCCCTTTGATGGTGATTGGTGCTGGTTGTTGTTGTCGCTGTTGGTTGGTTATCTTCATAAACTCCATCTCCTCTATGTTCACCCGCAGTCCTGTCTCTTCCGCCTGTTTCCTTAGCCAGTCTGTCGGTTTTTGCCTGTTAGTTTTCGAGTATGTGTGACATTAAAAATCAATCACCTGTGAAATCCACATATTCTTCTTCTGATCGTCCTAAAGTATTCCCGTCTTCTCACACATTGTGCACAGTCTAACACACAATCCAGTCCACCATAAACAGGAATATCACCAGTGATAATAGACAGCCAACCTTGCCGTACTCTCATATTCGATTCGAACGCTTTGCTAAATCTCCCGATGCAGATCATCTGACACGTGGCATTGTCGTATAGCCAGCTGTTGAATTAGGTTGACAAAGATTTGGGCACTGCACACCGTAGTGTTGAAGTAGTTTCTAAATTGCTTCTCGGTCTACGCTGTCTGGTGAAGGCCTTCTCGAAGTCAATAAAGTTGAAGTAGAGGTTTGACTGCCAAACTATGCTCTGTTCGATGATAGTGATGATGCGTAGAGTCGCAATTTGATCAACACATGACTTGCCTTTCCTGAATCCAGCTAGTTCCGGATAATGGACTTCTGTATCCAGTGCACCTTTTATATTATCCAGGATGATGCGACTTAGTATTTTACTTGGAGTGGACAAGAGCATGATTCCACGCCAGTTCTTATAAAGGTCTAGGTCGCCCTTCTTTACCAGCTTGACGAGGTAGCCTTTCTTCCAACCGGTAGGTACCTTCCCTTCCCTCCAAACCTTTCGCAGCAATAGAATGAGAACACTAGCCACAGTCTCTAAGTCCGTTTTGAGTGATTCGGAGATAATTATGTCTCGCCCTACTGCCTTCAAGGACTTCAGCAGCCTGATAGCATCCAGGATTTCCGCTTTCGTTGCAGGATTGGTGTCCACTGACAGTTCTGTGCGTGCTGCTGTTGGTGTTATATACGTCGGCGAGTTGCGGGTGATGACCAATTCAATAGTCCTTTAAAGTGATCAGACCTCTACTTTATTCGTCTTTCCTCCTTGATGATCAGGTTCCCTTGAGCATACTTTGTCGGTTTCATCATCTGGGTTGATCTCTTCCTGGATAGAGACCTAGTTATCTGATACAATATCCTGTGGTTTCTTTTACCTACGGCCTGTTCATCCTTTGTTGCTGGCCAGTGTATCGTAGAGTTGTCTTTTGTCTTTCCTAGCACTCTTCCTCTTCACTTCTTTATTCAATGTAGTGTATACTGAATTCAGCTGCCTCTTCTTCAGTTGTCCATCTATGCACTGAGTCATCTTCTCTTTCACCATCCTCCTCACCTCGCTTTTGTAAGCTCCCAGGTATCTGTTGACAGCCATTCTTTGTTGTGCCTTATATTTCTCCCAGATCAGCTGTACACGTTTCCTTGAACATCACCTTCAGAGACTTAATTTCAATGTTCTCCCAAGCAGGTTCCATCAGTAATTTCATGGAATGTCTCCGACTTTGCTCTGATCTGATCTCTAGTGAAGGTAGGTTTTCCTTGTAGTTTTGTCCTTCACTTTCTCAATTTTGAACTCTAATTACAGTGGCCTGACTCCATTTGCTTTCAGGGATTTCAGCCTCACGTTTAAGATTCCTTGAACTAGATGATGGTCAGAGCACGCATTTGCTCCTCTTCTCCACTTTGTGTCCAGCAGACTGGCTGCGTCTCAACTTCCTTGAGCAGCATTGAAATGAAATCGATCTGGTTTGTTGTGATTCCGGTCGGCGAAATTCATGTCACTTTATGTATATCCTTGTGGTTGTACACGCTGCCTCCGATCACCAAATCATTGAAAGCTCAGAAGTCAGCCAAGAGCTGTATGTTTAGTGTTGGAGTATATATCATTAGTAAGTAAGGTAATTCACTAGTGACAGTAACACAGTCATATAACTGAAGAGGTATGCGATAAATAAATATAGATCACTGGAATAATACACTGGCTTACTTAAATAAACTTGGAATGATTTACATTACAACAGATAAGAGACAATTAATGGGTACTTGAAAAATTTAAAACTGTGGATTCAGTAACATTTTTAAATTTTATCACCTCAAATTGCTAACTTCATTTTGAATACACGTAACAAGTTATGACGAACTAACATCAGTTAAAAAGGGATTGAATGTCAGAAAGGTACTGGACAGCTCTTTCATCTTATTTCATATGTTGCTAACCTGTAGGGATTTTTATTACGACCTTATTTTTGTAAAATGAAAATTTATCCAATCTATTCTGTCTTAATTTTAGCTGCCGTCCCAAGATTAATGAAAAGTTTCTGCATTCCCCTAGCTCGAACGATGTTTTCAATATGCACTCCTCCAAGTAAACAAGGTAAATAAATCCCATTCCCTTTTCCCCTGTCATTAGTTCTTTACAATTTTTAAAACAAAGGCGTTGAGATCCCAATAATTGAAGAGAACTTTATTCAGTTCCTTTTAGGTCAGCTTATATCCACAATTTGAAGTACACAAAAGTAGTGATACATTTCGAAGTCCCTATAAAAAGACTCGTTGCATTTAAAACCAAAGAAGATTAAGTCATAATATTACAGTGATGTTAAACGATGGTTTAGAAAAGTAAGACATACAGTCATAACTATAAAATTAGTGTAGAAATCAACTGCATTTAGCTTGAAAAACAAGATCCAAACTTTCAACAGCAATGTCAAGTTAGTCTGTTGTTCTATGTGACTCAGAGACTACGCGTTACCGAAAGCATTTCCAACTGGATACTGCAGACTGCTGTCAACAGCTGCCTTCTCTGGCTCGATACTGAAGATCACATGGAGAGAAATAAAAACAAATATCCGGGACAAAAACTGAGGGAAGCGTTGAGTGACGTCTTGTGCAAGGTCTTCGAATGGTACCCAAAAGGAAAATGATGAGGAGATCATTCGGGGTAATGTGGAGGAGATAGTGTGACTAGGAAGTGAGAGCTGATGCTGATTGTCAATGACGAGGCCAGCCCAGAGGGACCACAGAAGACACAGGAAGGTGGCGATGTACTGCTGAAGTCCCAAATCCCACTCAGAACCAGAGGGAATTATAGTAATACTGTTTGATTCATTCAGACTTTGAATAATACCCGACAAACTGGAACTGAATTTATTAGTATTCATTCATATAAGTTCAATGATCTTCATATTTTCATAAACTCTTTTATGATTACGCATTGTAGGCATGATCCAGTCAGTTGGAGCATTTGTTTCTCGAATCGGTTTCCTGATTAGCCTGACAGTACTTCCTGCTATATATGCGGCAACTGTGTTAACATTCCCGGCAGCTGTGTTTATTGTTGTGGTGGTTTTGATTACCATAACGCTTATTCTTGATCTGTAAGTGCCGCAAGAAAGTAATTGTTTTGTTCTTCTTTTCTGAAAAACTTCAAATAACTGAAGCATATTTACAAATAAGTAAGTACATAAAGAAGTCATCTTGGTCATGTTAAATTCAATAATGATTGACGAAATATTGTGTTAGGCATTTATAAGATTCAGAAACTAAGTACACATTAACCATTGAGCAGATAACATCTTTGCAGTCATTTGCGATTTGATTCTAGTCAACTGACTACACAGAAATAAACTATGAAGTAATGCAAGAATTTTCTTGCTATCTTCAGTTTCAAAGGGCTTAAATGAGTCGTTAACAAATCTTGTGCTGTTACGCAACTACCTGAATTTCATATGCAGTTAGGCATAAATATTAGTTCCTGTAACAGAACATTTTTATACACCTGCACTTAAATTGATTAAAAGTCTCCGATACGGTAAAGTCGGGACATAAACATTAATATATGTGTACATATATACAACCGACCAATCATTTGTAATTATTTCCCATTTGTTTACAAATCACTTTGGGACTGAGGTGAAACTTTGAATACAACTAGATTTCGAAAATCATCCAATATTTCAAAAGTCTCATATTTCCACCAATGAAATCACAGCAGAATAAAATGCTCTGTAGAAATATTCTGTGGATCTGTTACGCATACTAACAGGTACAATCTCTTTTAGATTTCACTCAGATGCCTAAAACATACATAACATTTGAAAAATACAATCGTTCCTGTCACAAAACTCTGTTTATTTTAAAATATGTTTATTATATTGGCCTTTTATTTCAAAACCACAAAGATATACACTACTGAAATTCCTACTTCTTACATAGAAGTTTTACGTAATCCCAGATGATGTCATTTTATGATGAATTTAACCTCTGAGATTGGTTAAACTCGCATAATGCCAGCAAACCGTACTGTACAAACTAGTGTTAGTACTTCATGTCTCAACGTTTCACATCAGTGACTTCAAAACGACGACACAATTTAACTAAATACATTTAGAATTTACTGACTGAATGGCATCTGAAATCGGCAGCAATCCTTGGGGATTTGAAAATAAACCTATTTAGAATAAATCTTTAAATATTCCCATTTTCAATATGAGAACAAGATATATAGGCGGACTATACTGTTTTCGATTAGGTCTTCTTCAGTCTATACGCTAATTTACATACATTTATGTGCAAATTCAAATAAATAGTCGTCACGATTTGACAGAATAGTTATGAAATATTCGGACACCGAGTGAGAAGTAGACATTTGTCAAAGATTATATTTGTAAAATCTCAGCGAGACTGAAATGAGTAGTTCCAACGTTTCGTTCGGCAATTTGGTCCGAACTTCTTCAAGGAAATTTATCGAAATTAACATAATAGAGGTTTATATATAAAAGGAACGTTTCTTGTTTCTAAAAGCTTTGTTCAATTGTGATTCATAAAACAAGTATTAACAAGTATAATAAACAAAATTTTATGAGCTGTGATCAAAATTTGACCTCGGACTTACATATATCGGTCTACCTTTGTTAAACACTTTAAACAGTTTACATGTGTGTGTGGGTTAACAGTTGTACAACATTTCTTAACGTCTCCATAAGAAGATATAGACAGTCAGGAATTTTGACCAAGTATTATTAATTAGTGATACATATCCTTTTTTATTTATTAATCGCTAATTAATAATACTTGGTCAAAATTCCTGACTGTCTATATCTTCTTATGGAGACGTTAAGAAATGTTGTACAACTGTTAACCCACACACACATGTAAACTGTTTAAAGTGTTTAACAAAGGTAGACCGATATATGTAAGTCCGAGGTCAAATTTTGATCACAGCTCATAAAATTTTGTTTATTATACTTGTTAATACTTGTTTTATGAATCACAATTGAACAAAGCTTTTAGAAACAAGAAACGTTCCTTTTATATATAAACCTCTATTATGTTAATTTCGATAAATTTCCTTGAAGAAGTTCGGACCAAATTGCCGAACGAAACGTTGGAACTACTCATTTCAGTCTCGCTGAGATTTTACAAATATAATCTGTTACAAATTTATGTGCAAACATTTTAACCAATGACGGTGATTTTGTGGATCAAATAATAATAATAATAATAATAACGTGGTAAATATTTTGAACGTCAGTAATAACGATGATTATTATGATAACAAAATATTGAAAATAAGATTTATGCAGGTGGCGATAAGAATACCAAGGGTGGTAATATGTGTATATGTAGACAATTCAATAAATAAATTAGGTCGAATCTTAAAAGTTACGTAATACTAAGGGTAAAGTGGGCAGATAATGTCATAAAAGTACGAAGGAAATGGAAAATAAGGAAGGGTGGTAGGGTTTTGATTAGAATTCACCTAGGCCAAGGGAGAGACAAGGCTAGAACAAACTTCTTTTGTATGCAAAGACTAGGATTGTTCTCGCGAATTCCCATAGCTTTGACTGTGTAAGAGACGCGTTCGAAAGGCTCGATGGAATGCGATAGACAACTTTGAAGGCACTATTTTTGTCCACTTGTGACCGCTATCAATCAAATGAGCCAAAATAGAACTTCATATAGATTTTATCTGACCTTTACCGAACCGTGAAGGAAGATACTCATTAATGCTTTTCTTAAGCTGTCTAGTTGTTCACTCTATATAGCTGTCTCTGCACGAGCCACTAAATATGTAGATACACATAGAAGTAGAACAGCTAGGCAGCTTGTCTTTCGCTTGAGCAATCATAATTGGCCGGTTGAAAAATGACAAACAAAGGGTGGCGGCAGTATTAATCCGTTTCATCGCTCTCGATAATTTCGGATGTAAGACTTCACTAGATACGTCCCAATTAAACTGCAATTATATAACTGTTGTCAGTTTCCCTTTATTGTACCTAGTGTTCATATGTCTCCTTATAAATCTACCAGGGTAACTAACCACTTTTAAACAACGTATTTTGGATGCATCCTAACTCATTTTCTAGGGAGTCATCTGTACAGATAAGTCTTGCTCTATTCGTGAGTCATCTGACCAAATTGATTTCTTATCGGATTGGTACGTAAATAAATGAGTAAATGAACCAAAACACTATTACAACAGAGTAGATGTCTTGCGAAGACCAAATAAAACTGTAATGTTTGATGGTGTCTCTTCCCTTAAATGTTCACCGACCTATGTCCCTTTTTATTCCACACATATATATTTCATCAGTTAGTTATCTTTTATGTATCAAGCTTCTTATAAACTTCTCTCTATTGTTTTTTAAACAGGTGCATCCCAGTTGTGATTAAAAGGGAGAATGCCAAACTGGAAGCTGCTTCATAGTGTAAGAAATAAAAATCAAGTGAATAAATTCTAATGAAACTGCGCACTCCAACCACAGAACATTGTCCGCTATGATAAATGCATTAGGTATACAGAGTTCAAATACATTTCCCTCTTTGCTGTTCACTATAGATTTCCTAGAAAAAAGAAAGTGAATTTTTGAATAAACATCTTCCTGTCTAAAGTTAACTTTTAAACGCATTAAAACACCTTTCTTCTCATGACAAGATCAGGAGGCAATAACCAATGTGAGCCCCGATGGCGAAGTCGCATGTAGATGTTCTTTGACATCAATTATTCATAGATTGTTTTCAAAACTAAAATTCATCAAACGTAATTAAGGCTGTACGAAAGGAGAATATACTAATGCTAACTATGAATCTGAATTTCACGTCACTTATCAAATGAATATTTCCAAGGTTTAGCAACTCACAGATTTCTAATGATATAGGGAGAGAAGATTATTAGCCCATTTCTGCGGAGTACCTTTATGCTGTAAGCGTGGAATGACATCAGTATACAGACTAAGGCTTTTCAGGAATCACCCAAGACATTTGTTAAAAAATCAAATATTTTGGTAGTTTTGATGACATTTTTCTGAATTAAACTTTAAATTACCAAGTGTATTCAATGATATTCAAGTGTTGGTTTGTGGGGATTTGATGTATTCAATGATGTCGAAATTATGATGACTGAAATAAAGTGATACGAGGAATAATTCAGGTTATCTGTACCATGTAAGGAAAATGCAAATGTCATTTCTAGATGTGTGTAGCGAGCTAATGTATGCGGCTCAGTCTAAGATATTTAGATGTGTTGCTTATTGTCAAGACTGTATTTTCAGAGTACCACGCTGAATTGGCTACTTTATAGGGTAAAAATTACGCATAAATGTGCGACATTGAGACTGCGATGTAGTAAAATAATCACGTGTTGAAAAATAAGTCATGAGTGCTTCAACAAGTATGGTGATAAGACCGCTGCTGCCAAGTCATGGTTTAAAATGACTGAATCCGGTAAACCACTTGGTCAATGACAAAGTAGCACAGCTGATATATAGTGGCACTACAGAACAACAAAGGCTATCCAAAACAATGTCCACGTGGAATTTTAGAATTAAAATGGAGAAGACGAAATTTCACATCTAGAAAGTACTAGAAAACTCTCCGTGACATCAAATAAAGTGAAGAAATAAACAGATTATCAGACACATATTTAGTAGATATGGAACGAATAAAGATGTTACCATCTGCACAATGTACAATTTGAATGGGCATTTTTATAACGAATAGGTTATTCGTGTCAGCGAAGATAGAGTAGCAGTGTCTGTCTGTCTGTTTTCGAAATAGAACTTTGCACATACGTGCGGCAGCCCAAGTCGCCACACTCCATCTAGCACACAAAGCAAGAGAAGAAATTAAAAGAAGTGCATAATAGAGACAGTAAACAGGGGTGTGAGACAAAGCAATAGTAATAACGAAGAACCATATAGTTTCATTGGAAATCATAAATCACAAGGAGTGGATGCATCTGCGCCAGCCATTGAGAATGATTTTGAACCATGTCACCAATTGTTTCCAGCCATTGGTTCTTACCATCCCGAGGACCCCAACCAGCCAAGAAGTCTGCACCTTCCTCTGTGGCTTAGACCAACTGTTGTAGATTTCATTGACTGGTGCCATGTTTTTGTTTGACCGCCGCTAGCTTTTTTCCAGCCTGACCCTATATCCGCTAACATTGCTCGTCGAGGAAGGCGATGACTTGGCATACGTAACACATGTCCTAACCATCTCAGTCTTTGTAACTTCACGACTTCGTCGATTGATTTCCCCTGTTTACCTAGAACTCGACGCCTAACCTCAATGTTGCTCACCTTATTATGCCACTTTACACGGGAAATAGAACGCAGGCACCTATGATCAAAGACAGCTAGTCTTTTCATGTCTTCCACTCTCAGTGGCCAGGTCTCACAACCATAAAGGAGGACGGAGCGGACTGATGAGCAGTACACCCGCCCTTTGGTCGATAGTCGAACATCTCGTCTACGCCAGAGTCGGCGTAAACTGGTAAATGCGAAACGAGCCCCCTGTATTCGTGCTGAGATTTCGTCAGAGATCAACCCGTTGGGGCTGATGGTACTTCCCAAATAAGTGAAGCGGTCAACGTGCTCTACCACTTCACTTCCTATTTTTAAACTAGGCGTCGATGTAGTCCAGTCCTGTAACATCATCTTGCATTTGGCGGGAGCGAATCGCATGCCAAACATTCGTAGATTGCGGCTCAAGGTGTTTAGAAGACTCTGCATTTTGTCAGCGTCTTCGCCTAGAAGGACTATATCGTCTGCATATTCCAAGTCAACGAGATTATTCCCCGGTAGCAAGTCAATCCCTGAGTCGCTGAAGTCACCTAGGGTTAAGTCCATTAACACATCTATGATGAAGTTGAATAGAAAAGGGGATAATGGGCATCCTTGACGGACACCACTGGTCGTCATCAGTTCAGATGACAGCTCGCCGTAAGCCCTCACCTGGCTGTATGAGTACGAGTAGAGTGCCTTAATCAGTGCAATATATTTTCTCGGAATTCCCTTTACAGCCAAGCATCTCCAGAGAACCTCCCGATCGACAGAGTCGAATGCTGCCTTTAGGTCAAGAAATATAATGACTGTTGGACGCCGGTAGGAATGCCTATGTTCTAGAATCTGTCGGAGGGTGAAGATATGATCAATACACCCTCTTCCTGGTCTAAAGCCTGCCTGGCTCTCTCGTGTTTGTGCCTCCCGAGCACCACTCAGTCTACGCATGATTATTGAGCCTAAGACTTTAGATACTATATTAGTCAAGCTAATCCCTCTGTGATTATCACAGGAAGACTTGTCTCCCTTCTTGTATATGGGGATAATCAGTGACTTACACCAACCCGATGGGACTTCTTCTGATTCCCAGACGCTGCCTAGTACCTCAGTTAATGCAGACAGTAAGCTGTCTCCACCGTACTTAAATACCTCTGGAGTCATTCCATCAGGTCCCGCTGCTTTGCCTAGTTTCAGATTGGTGACAGCTTTAGTAACCTCAGTTAGGACGGAGGACCTGTGTCTATATCCCATTCAGGGAGGTGTTGGATGCTCGGAAGGTTGAGCGTGGCTGTGGGCCAATTAAACTGCTCCTCATAATGCTCTTTCCAACGATCCAGTCGTCTATCCTGGGAGCTAATTATAGTGCCATTTTTTTCCGAGATTGTCTCACTAATGATTTGTCTTCTCCCACCCGTTTCCCTGATGAGTCTAAAGAGTTGCCTGGTGTTGCCTATCCTCGAAGCTTTCTCCATCTCTTTGGCTTTTGTCGCCCACCACTGTTCACGGTCCTTGCGGAGACTTTTCGTAAGTTTCCTCTTGTGCAGCTTTCGCTCCTCATTGAATTCGGAGCTCGCCGGAATAAGTCTTCTAGCATCTATCAGTTCGGATGAGGCGGTGGAGATCCAGTGGTTTTTACTCACCTTTGGGTTTACCTTATTCACAGCTTTTACAGCTGTATCTATGGCTGCCTGGATATTTTTCCAAGCTTCTTCAGGGTGAGCACAGCTGTCGAACACAGATATGTGTTTAGCTAGTTCTTCCTCAAATACGGATTTAGTTTCCTGATCGAGCTGGGGACGTGATGGTTTTACCGCCAGCTGTTTCCTACGTCCGTTCAGTCGTAAGCACACCCGAGCGCGGACCAGTGCATGGTCGGTATCTACACACGTGTTCCAGAAGGAGCGACAATCTCCTACCGACCCACGCCAACGATAGCTTATTGCTATGTGGTCTATTTGTGTCCAGCGTTGGTTTGATGAAGGGGGTCTCCAAGTCAAACAGTGTCTCTCCTTGTGTTTGAAGTTAGTGCTTACAAGAAACAAATGATTATCAGAACAGAACTGTAGGAGACGGTCACCGTTGTCGGTTCGCTGGCACGGAACTCCATAGGTGCCACCGACATCCTTCTCAGATTGACACAATTTCCCTACTTGAGCGTTAAAGTCACCAGCTAGAACGACTATGTCTGAGCGTTTAGCCTTTCACACCAAACTAGACAGCTTTTGGTAGAACTCATCCTTCGTTTCATCTGAACTGCAGTCAGTGGGGGCGTAGGCGGAGATTACGAAAAGGCATCGGCGAGTAGTGCAGTCCTTTCTCCTTCTTACTGATCCGTTCAGGGACAGCACACATTCGGCTATCTACCGGGATCCAGTCAAGCAATGTCTTTTCTGCCCTAGTACTCAAAGCTATCCCTACGCCAGCTAATCCTCGTGAACTAGCTGTGGCATCTCCTGACACCCTCAAGGTGAATTTTGCAGATTCAACCTGTTGGCCAGGTGGGGTTAGGTGAATAACCACACTTGGGTCTTGTATGCGTGTTTCTGAAACACAGCATACATCAATGGCTCGTGATGCCAGGGTCTTGGCTAGTGATGCTTGTTGTCCTATTTGGCAAAGTGTCCTAACATTAAGAGCTCCTATATGAAATTGGTGGCGCGGCTTTAAGAGGCTGTCGGTGGTGGTTTTTTGGCTTCCATCGTTTTTAGTGGACGCAGAGTGGAGAGGAAGTGGAGAGCTATCAAGTCGAGGAGTTGCATCAGTGGAAGGAAGGCAAGATGATAGAGATGAAGATGAAGACGAGTGAGTAATAGAGAGGTTTCGTGTGCATTTCGGATTGTGAGGGCGATTGTTACTTCCCGGCTGCCCACACCGTGGAAGTTGGTTGCGTGACCGCAGAGACCAACTGCTTGAGGCCGGTCACACGCGGCCTGCTTTTGTTTGTTCTTTTTGTTTTGTGTGTCTCAGTAGCATATTTATCACTCCTGCCCTGTGACACGGCAGCAGGAAGCGCGGTCGTTGTTAATCCGGGCCACGGCCGATCCGGCATGAAATTTTGTGATTTTGTATTTATCATGATGTTGGATTGGGTAGCTGCTTTTTGTTTAACCGCTATCCAAACAACCTTTCTGGCATGGTAGACCTC